AAACACACACACACACAAGGAAGAGAAACCTCAGCACTTCCTGATAGTGCCATCACCACTTTTGTCACCAGGAAGATCTCTAAAATACTCTATAATGTCTTAAATTTATTACTCCACATCCTTATTGTCTTCTTACATTAAAAACTATATAATAGAAGAGTGCGACTGTAGCTCTCTCTCTCCCATCCTGTCCCATTCATATTCTCTCTTCAAGGCTGAATGTTCCCATTTCTCTCAGCATCTTCTCATAATATTTGTTTGTAATTTTTTATGTAAATCTATTCCAGTTCTTAAAAAAATGGAACATCACACAAAATACTGACAATAGAGCTCCCAGGTGAACTTTTATCTTTTATAGATTTAGACCAGCTTAGCCGCTATTAATATTGATCTATCATATACTCTCAGAGTTAAATTTTAAACACTTAATTAAAATTACTATTGTTCCATGATTTTAATACATAATATCAACACGTAACTTACAGGTTTGAGTGGATATAACTCAGGACTGGAATACATTGTGGAAGTACAGTATCATTGAAATACAAATGCTTGCCTGTATTTCACTACTTTGGCAGTGTTTATAGAACATATTTCTGTGAAAAACATAATTGACAGATGTGATAGGCTTTATTGTCTTGAAAATAATTTCCCATAACACACATCTTAAAAATGATACAACTAATCTTGTCAGTTAAACTATTTTACAATAATAATGGTAAACATAACTTCTTTTGTGTTCTGACAGTTAAATTCAATGTTGGGACTTAAAACAGTCTTTTGATCTGTATAATAAGTAGGTTGCCAGTATGGGGGCTAAATGATTTGTTATGTTGGGGAAAATGCCAAGCTTTTGTGTATATAGGACCTCAGTTTCTTTTTGACTGATTCCTTCGGATTGGTATCAGCAGGTATTGGTGCCTACAGTCAAATTTGATTTGTTTTCTGAATGGTATGGAGAGTTTCCAGGTCTGAGCTGTTAGCATTGCTCCTAGGAGGGTAGAAAAACAGGTCAATAAAGCTCTCATTAAGATAAAAAATAAAAAACTTTTTCTGGAATTATGAATAGTAATTATTAATGGCGATTTGTAGCACACAAGTTAATTTCCAGGAAATCTTGTAAAATTAAAGCAAACCTCACAAAATTAATGTTCTTTTGCTTACATGAATTCCCAGTCTTCTTTTGCCTTGAACCTTGACTTCATCTTTGATGTGATATACACTAAAGATACAGTGAATAACAAAAATGAAATAATTATAAACAGCTAACTTTTTATCATTTTTATACTCTGATTCTAGTGCCAAATATATCATCATAGCTTTTCTATAGTGCACTCTAATCTTTCTGTCTAGCAATTAGTGAGCTGAATGTCAAATTAAGTTAAAATTAATGGTACAGGGAATCTTGTACTTATTAGCTTGAAACTGTCCTAACTGGTAGTGCATAGACGAGCTTTCCAAATGTTGCAAATAGCTATAGATTAGGTATCACATGGTTGTGAAGATTAATGAATGGTCTTTTAGTTTGCTAATTTAAAGCAATACCTAGTAATTAATTCTAAATTATCAGTTGCACAGTTGCAAATTCCTAAAGGGAAATACAAAATTAAAGATAAGGTACATGTGAAATTCCCTTGGCTAACATAATAGGTTTCAAATTGTCGGTGCAAGTTCATAGCAACCGGAATTCATGTCATGCTCAGTTTGAATGGTATTAGGGACCAGGATCTAATGCTGATAATAATTAAAGCCATTAATTTTCCTTTAAAGCATGAGGCTGAAAGAAACATGTTTTTATATGAAACAATGGGTGACATCTATCCATTTGTCTTGCCACAAAAATATCAAGTGTCATTTACCTTATTTATGTATTAATGTGAATAACAAACATATTTCCTCCATAAAAACTAAATATGCAATACAAATCATTTTCAGTGGACACCAGATCTATTGAAGTTATTTTTAAATAATTAGCAGAATAACTTCTTTGTGGTTAGAAATTTAACAAATGTTGCATATAATTTCTTGATTTGCCTAAACTCTAAAAACAGACTAGTTTCCTTTATTTAGTGATGAATTGTGGCATAGATTTTTATGGATTAGAAAATATTTGAAGAATCATATAATCAACTTCTCTTATGTGTTTTAGAATTCTGGAGAGCACTGTAATATTTATCTTTGAATTAGAAAGACACAGATTCTTCTTTAAGTTGTGTTTTTATGGCAGAGATAGTGAATTCTAGAGAACAACATTCAATGGCAAAGTTCACATCCCTAGAGAAGCATTTCTTCCAGGTTGTTTTTTGAGGTACTGCTTTCAGCTCATTTTTACAATCTTACAATTCCTGTTCAAAATACTAAGCAATTAAGGCTTCTAACATTTCAACTCTGCTGTAGTCAATATGCAGCAGTGGCTGGAAGACAATCTCAGAGAGAACTGTCACAATCTGTTGCTACAACTATTGATGAAGCAACTGTAGCAAGACATTTACAGTATGTAAAATCTGATTTTGTAGCTATTGCTCTTTAGGATAGATGTAATAGATATAAGGATTAGTAGTTTGAGTGTGAAACTATTTGAAGTGACTTCATCTGCTTTGAATATTGAACTTGAGAGTTCTTCATGGAAATCTGGACTCAAGATCATACATATTTTAACCCAAATAATTCTAAAAACCTTACCATTTTGTCAATTTTATAAGCATTCTGAAGAAAAACGAAATTGTGCATACTAATGTACTTTTACTTTAAAAAATGCTAATTTTAAAAAAAAATCTGCAAGTTTTAACTTGTGATTTATTCCTTTTTCATATAGCCATTAAACAATACAATTTTACAGAAATTCAGGATAGAATACACACCCTGTTACTGAATAAGAAGGTGTCCATGAATTTCCTTGTCAAAGTATATTGCCCTGGAACTTGTTTGCCTAAGGGAATATTTAAGGCTGCGGATACCAAGTTAGGTGATGAAAAACTCTACAGGGCTTAGGTTAGCTCTTTGGGAAATGAATCTTAAAAAAATTGAGCTATATATCTCTCAGTTCACTGCACCTTTGTCAAGATGAATGAAAAAAAAATATTGCTGACATAGATAAGAGAGAGTGAACAAAATGGAAAAATGCATGATAGCAACCAGGAGAAAATACTGATTCACTTTTGATTCAGGAACAGCTGTTGTGAAATTCGGATCACTATGGATTTTATTTTACCATCATTTTCTTTGTTTCCTCTGATATTGACAATGAAATTAAAACATAGGCTTCCTGCTACCTTAACAATATTTTGTGTCCTACTTGTTAGATGAATTGTTATAGCAGTGTGGAAGTTTAAATTATAAATAAAATAAGTATGATAGATACATGTTAAATATCTTGAGTATAAAAATAACCTTCCATTTTAATTTTTATCTTACAATATCTACTTAAAATTGGCTATAGATAAGACAGTGATGAAGTAGTAAGAATGTTGGAGTGAAATAGAGAGCTAGAATTGCCTGATATCAACTCAGTATTGGACAGATAACAATATCATTGAAACATGACATGCCTGGAAACCTTTCTTACAAAATGGTATGCATTCTAATTCCCAATGAAAAGGCAGAATTTGCTCATGATTTTTTATCATTTCAAAATTGTTCTGTTCACAAAATAAATTAAGTCAGAGGTTGACATTGGCAAAGGTATCCATGGTGACCTTGATAGGCAAAGACTAAGTTCAGAGCATGAGGTTCAAGAGCCATAAATACCCTAGGAATGGTCATGATTCTGTGGTAGGAGCACAATGTACAGAAAATTTGTATAAGCATGATGATTTACAAATTAAAATGATTCTAACTCTGTTTTTCAAAGATATTGTCAGACATGGATAAAGGCTTAAAGTTAGTAGAAGGCAGACATGTTTTGGCATGATAATTTATATAGGCCCAGGCTATCACAGATGTATTCTTATGTCTAATTTTTCCCAGATAAAAATTGTATATTTAAAATTAAATGATGTAGAGTGTTTATACTATACACTTGAATCTCTCTCTGAACTGTGATGGGGCTAATCAGCTTTGATTGCAAGGTTAATTGCTGTCAACAGAGTTTGATGTTTTTCTATCTCAGTGGTTCCCAAATTTGACAACTTTAAGACTTGTGGACTTCAACTCCCAGAATTCTCCAGCCAGCAGAGCTTAAAGTTGCCAAGTTTGGGAACCACTGTTCTATCTCTTTGATTTTGATGTGTCTGCAGTAATATGTTTGCAGACTAGGTGCTCAGTATCCATAGTTGAAATGTCAGCAGCAGCAACAGGCCTTGTGGTGCTATGCCTCTAGGGCTGAGATATAGTTCCTCTGAGTCAGATTTACCTCAACCTCAGCCTCTTCCTCTTCTTTTCTTTGCTGTATAATAAAAATATAATAATGATATTGCAGCTCTCAACAACCCCATAAAGTACCACCAACCATATAGGCAATGCTTGGACCGTGAAATAATCTCAGTTTAAGAAAGGATCCAATTGTAACTGAATAAGTGAATTATTATTAAAAACATTGTCGTTGTTGCCCTATAATAAATACATTAAAAGAACTATTGTTCAGTACAGGATGCTTATAAATAGATATGGAAATGTGGCTGCTAAGGCATGATATATGACTTTTTCCAGTCCAAATGCTTCTAGAATTGAACAGTGATTTATTTTGAGATACCTCTTAACTATAGAAAAATAATTATTAAGTGTTCAGTCTAAACAATGATATGGGTTTATGTATTTAAGCATTTTTATTCTACCACATCTGGTAGCTTACAACATACTGTATCCATAAAACCTATAAACTCACTCCATTAAAACCAGACCGAAATATAGTAATTGCTATCCAACTGATTTTTATGGATACTGTGATATTTACATACATTTATAATTACTCTGTCAATTCCATACATTATTAGGGAAATATAGCAAGATGTAAACATTAAATATTTTAAAATTAAAACATTTTCAACTTTTGTTTTTAATAGGTAACTTTTGAAATACATAAACAGAACCTTTCTCGGATGTTCAGGGAATATGAAGAGAAAGGAGATGAATGCTGCAGTGCTGGTCCATCATCCATTATTAGAACAGTTTCAGGTATTAGTAAGGCTGCCGAAGTTACAGAGAAAGTCCACCTTGAAAAAAAAGAAGCTGACACTTCTATAGTTGATACTGAAAACAGAAGCATGAACAACAGCATTTTGAAGGATGAAAGTCGATTACCTGATTTTGAAGACCACAGTAATTTAGAAACAAACAAAGAAAAAAACAAAACAGAAAATATTCAGAAAACTCTTGATTTAAATGAAGCTCCTAGTTTGGATCTTCCCCTACAAGCCCAAGTGACAAAACAGAGCTTAGAACATACTGCTGAAGTTATTGGAATAAACCATGAAGAAAAAGAAATAAGTACCAGTGATTCACAATCACCTTTAGAAAATGTTGAAATAGAAAGTCCAGAAATGTTAGAAAATGTAACACCAGAAGTATATGTGGAGGAAGATGAAGATTTTGTTGATTTAAAAGAGGAGACTAATCTGGCACTTACATCAGAACAATGTGTTCCAAAATCCATTGAGGAGCATGATTTGTGCGATAGTCAAGTAACATCAATTGTACAGCAGTGCACTGCTTCTTCAAAAGAACCTGTTTCAATGGAAGTAGTACCTGAAATTGTTGAAGGATCAGTGGAAACAGAACAGCAGGATTGCTTGCCAGAAATCAGCAGTCCTGAAATAAACAGAGCTCAGCCAACTTCAGACACTGAGAATTACATTGATGACAAAAATACTAATCAACCCCAAACCAAGACAGTTGTAGATAGCACACAACCACAGACTTCAGAAGCAATAATTGCTTCAGATAAGAAAATTGCCAGACTTGATGTTTCCAGCATTGCATCAGATACTGAACGATTAGAATTAAAACCTCATGCAAATCCAGAAGTAAATCATCCTCCTAGAGCCATTTCTGAGGTAGGTTTTTCACTACTATCTACTTAAGTAAGTTAAAAAATATTTACCAGATAGCATGATTGTGTGTGTGTGTGTGTGTAAGAATGTCTGTCTTCTTAGCTAACTTTTTATGGCAGTTATAATTATGAATGTTAACAGATTTGTAAAGTCACCTAGAAAGATTAAATGTTTTAACTGCAAATATTGTAAGGTTGAGATTAAAATGTCACATATTTTTTTCTGTATTAAATTGTTTTAATAATTTACAAATAGAATGCATGCAAGATTTGCATCACTTATGCATTATTCCTAATTAAAGTGATGTTCCTAAGTGCTTCCCTCCTGCAGAAATACCTTCCAATGGATAATCATCAAGTTACACCACACTTCCTCAAAGGAGGAAAATCACAGGCAGCAGCAATTTATGCACCCTATGTGGTAAGGTCTAGCTGCTGCTTATTCTTACCTTGGCTGGCAGAGATGGTGGCATAGTTGCTAAGTAGTATATAGAATTGATATGACTGCTTAAGCATAGTCCTCAAATAATCATGATTTTATAAAATTAGTGTTGACTATATCATACCTGTAGAGTATGAACAGCTTTACCTGGAATTAGATATCTGCTAAGACTCAGATGAAATAGTCAGTGTGACCTTCATCTTGGCTTACCTCTCTCAATATATATTGTTTACAAAGACATCTAGGCAGTATGATTCATCAGATCAAAATGTAGCAACTCCTGCAGATGGGCAGAGGAAGGATTCTAGATCTACCATGTTCCGTATCCCTGAATTCCGATGGTCTCAAATGCATCAGCGCTTGCTTACAGATCTTCTCTTTTCTATAGAAACAGATGTACAAATGTGGAGAAGGTAATGTCTACGAAATCTTAGGCAGTTTACATAGTATAAGCAAAATCAGTAAAATTGTATGTTAGTAAAAAGTTGAATTATATTTTTAAATGGATGAATTGTATATAACTGAGTCCTCAAAATTGAATTGGAGCCTTTTGTGACCAAGTTGCAGTAGCATCTTCTGAAATGCTACCCATGTCAAATCTTTTTTTTTAAAGTGTTGATTGAATAATATTTTCATATAATTCAAGGATCGTTCAGGATCAAGAATCACATTGCATTAAAAATATACTCTTTCTATACATTTTTCCTTGTGACTTTACTTTATTTGAACAGGAAAATAATGCTTCTTCAAAATTCAATTCTGTAAACTGTTTTTTTCCTTTCAAACTTGTTCTAGTTTACTGAAACACTATGATTGCGTTTTTAAAATGAGGTTCAGCAACACCCAGAAGTACTGAGAAGAAGTTGCACAAGATGTTCCCTTGAGCATTAGGATGTTATTTGAAAAACAGAATAAATGATTAGAAAATGTTCTGTGAGAGATTAGATATGAATAGAAAGGACCATTGTCTAACTGTCCAATCTGAAGTTACCTTACATATATCTATGGAGTTTCTCAGTCATCGAGGTCATGGTTGTCCCAAAAGTGCTTTTTCATTTATTTTTTTTACGATAGAATTTTTTTATTTTCCATTTTTCATAGCATATAATCACATGTATACTATTACATAGTCAATATCTTGTTGTATTATTAAGTAATTACATCAATTCATCTTACCATCAACTACCAAAAAAAACAAAACAGTTATTTTTTAACAGGCTCTTCCGCTCTCCATACACCATATTTATACCTTATACGACACTTTCTTCCCCCTCTCTCCTCCCCTTCTCTACATCCTTTCTTCCCTCCATCATTTTCTACTCTACTTCCCCTTCCTTTCTCCTTCTCCTCTCTTCCCTTACCATTTCTCCTTGTACACCTCATCGTCCCCCTCCCCCTCTCTCCTGTCCCTCTCTTCCTATCTTTCTTCTCTCCTCTGCTTCCCCCTCTTCCTCTAAT